AAGGACAAACCCACCGTAACATTCTATCAGCTCACTTTTGTTATAAAAATATTACAGGGTGCAACACATTCAGAACAAGACTGACCAAATTTTCCCAGACTACGGACTAGAAAAAGATAACTACTCCAAGTATGTTGCACGGTCTTTACCAGTTGACCAGTTTAAGTAAGAACACTTAAAAGATCAAACGTACCTAGTCTTCAACTACAGCTGAAATATATTTCTGAGTTTTTTTTTGTTGCTGCTGTTCTGGATTGGTTTTTTTCTCCCTCAAGTTCACAACATGAACTTGAGAAAAAGTTCTCAGCTTTTATGCTACCCTCCAGTTCAGAGAGAAATTGAGATACACACAGAAATAATGTATTCTAAGTTACATTAGTAAGTGTGATATCAGCCAGAAAGAACAATCCAAGGAAGTTATATATCCATTTATCTAAATACAGTTTTTCGGAGGGTTTTTTTGTCTGTCTGTTTAAAAGGAATCAACTGCAAGGCACTTCAACACATGACAATACCTACTGACATGAAGTGAGAGTGATCGGCATCTTCCATAATTCTTTCCCAGGAATATTAGACAAGAGTGATGCAAAACAACTTTGCTGTAATCTAGTAAGACATACAGAAGCCATCTGTTTCACATCACATGGGTATACCACACAAACAATCCCCAATTTCCTGGTTGTATTTAAAATTGCTAAACCTATTTAAAAAAAACTGGACTATGATACACTGTAAGAATTGTCTTATTTAAACAAAATACACCACAAACTGTCATCATATTCTACTAAGTGTAAGCATAATAAGAACTCATTTTAAGGCTCTGATTTGAGACATCAGGATGGATACATGTAAAAACCTTTACGATTGTTTCACCCTCTATCACTGCTCTAAGCATATTATATACATCGAACCAAAATACTCTGACTGCTAAAAATCAAACAGACAAAAGGATCAAAACAGCAAAACAGAGCTCTGCAGTCCTCTTGAGCCTCTGTTCACATTTTGGTTGTAGATACCAATTTATCATTCAGCTACAATTTTTTTCTAAAGAAGGGCGACATTAAGAGGAAGCTTTGAAAATCCTACTTACACACAACTCCACACCAGCTTCTTGACTTCCTAAGACTACACACTATTCTTATCTGTTTCTACACCTGAAACTTGTACTCCACCTGCTAAACTTCCCATTGAAAAGAGAGGGAAAAAGAAAAAAAGAGGCTCTTGATTTAGACTTTCAACAAAAATCCAGACAACATACAAGTAGTAAGCCATGAAGGACAAGAAAAAGAAAGAGCAAGTCACCTTCATTTTTACTCCTGGGAACACTCCTCTCAAAGACACACCAATACTCATGTAGCTCGCAACATCACCCAACAAGAACACTTTAGAAGAAAAAGATTAAAAATAAAGGAAAAGCAAATGTTGTAGAATAAAAACACAGACAAGATCCTGGTCTTCCCAAAACATCTATTCAGAAAATTCACCCATGCCTTGAACATTTGGTATGATTTTGTTCTACAATGCAGAACAATGTTACTGAAGAGTAATTTTGATTCATGGCCATGAAAACTGTTTGTAGAATACTATCTGATTATTTCTAGTTCCAAGTAAAATTTCAGTAGTATTTAAATCTATGTATGCTTACAGATGTCAGTGTCAGACAAAACTTAATTGCGCCTGAGATCAAAGAACTGATTGCCTAGTACATGCCAGTACCCTACAAAACCAGGCCAATACCAACAGTGGCATTTCGCATGCCTGCATCCTTGAGTAGGACAGTTCAAAGTTGTTTCTGTATGTCCATACAGGATGTCAGAGTACAAAAGGAAGAACTGGAAGAAGTTCTTGCCAAAATCAGCTACGCATGGTACTCTACTACAGATGGGGTAAGAATTAGAGTTGTAGTAAATGAGTGGTGAAAAACAGCTGTCTGAGGTCAAGTGGCATGTTCAACAGCATTCCCAAGCCTTGCTGCATATTTCCTTCTAACAGGCAGAGCTGATTTCTGACTTAAATACCAAAATCAACAGCTTAACTCAGGCTGGTGCAGTTACTGATTTTCTGAAGTGGTACATCAGATCTGTTTGTCTGTTAATGCTTCTTGACTGTTGTTTTATACACTTAGAAATAGTTCTAAACTGATTTCAAGGCACATACAATTCACCTAACACTTCCCCTTTGATGAAGTATTGGTCTCATCTGGCCATCTGGGGCACCCAAAAGAGTGGGATTCCATGTTAGTGGAATTAGTCACTGTCAGAGCAGTCACTTCTCTGGAGAGACATGAAATTAATTATTTTAAAGTACTTAGCATAAAATGACTTTTCTTTCTCAGCTGGCTATACAAACTTAGCAGATGTATTCCACACTCTTGAGAGCCAGGAATATATTTCAGGTCTGCTTAGTAGCTTGATTAACACTCTACTCAAGGTGATAACACCCAGCCTCTAGCTTTAAGATTAGTTTAGGTTTTTATTCCACAATCAGACTTCTCACTGGTGTGAGATTTACTGAAACATAGCATGTAATCTATCATCAAACTCTGTAGAAAAAAAAAATAAAACAAAGCAGCTTGATATACACTGTAAAGAAAAAAGTTATCTCAAAACACACAGGTTTACCACTTCCAGAGCACAGAATGATCAACAACAGGATCACAGTTGACATCTCCCAAGCTAAAGCTACAGTCAGCAAATAGAAAGGAAAGGACAAAGCACACTTTCCTTTAGCATCGTCTGCTCCAAGAAAAAAAGGGCCTCTTATTACACATCCACCACACCAGTTCTTTGGATGTTTTTTGGGCCTGGGATTTTTGCAGCTTGTTTTGCAAATAGAACACATGAAAACATAGAAAACAGTCAGATTCCCACCACACTGAGCTACATTTCACAATCCTGGAAAAGTGTATGAGCATCTTATGCTAAACACAAAATAAAAATCACTCAAACAGAAATGTATCTTTGTAGATGCAATCCACATCTCAAGTTTGTTTGGTCAAAGAATGTATCCTATCACAAATTTCTACCAGTCAGTTGAGGGGATCTCACTGCATTATTCAGAACCTTACCTACAACACACTAGTACTTCCAGCTACCGTGAACATTTTCCATCCTTTCCATGCGAAACAAAACACTACGTTAGAAAAGCAGATCAAGTTGAAGACAAAGTCTTGTTTTCACAGTCAAACGACCAACAGGTCATCCTGGAATGTGTGTTACAATACTTTTGCTTCCAAAAGCAAAATAAGTCTAGAATCAGGTATTCAAAGAAGGATGCATTGTAAAGTAGTAGGAAGTACACAGGTCAAAAAATAATCGAGCAACCTAGACTCAGCTCCTTTTTCTAAAACTCTCCCATTCCAAGACAAAATACAGACATGAAGACCTAGGGAAAAAAAAAAAACCACACCAACCCACAACCAACCTGGCTGCAACCAAATTATGAAAATGAATCATCCATTAAACACAGAACTTGAACACTAATACAAATAGTTCATTTAGCATTCACACCCTCCAAACTAAAAGGCACTGAAGAAAAGTGACCAAGCTAAATATCGGGGTCAAGCATGCTGCTGAATATCAGAGAGGTGTATCATAACAAACTTCATAAATGCCTCGCCTTGTCAGACTGCCCCAAAAATGTACACAAATGATGTTACAAAAACATTTTAACATATTGTATTTTAAAATACTATAGGATTTCCTGCCCCAGAGCTCAGCACCATACACTAGCAAGATTGCCTCCTAGGGACTTAGACTGACAACACCAGCTATGAACGTAAACCGAATCGATTAAGGGAGTTTACCTAGTCCAATACCCTGTCTCAGACATACGGACAGTTTAAGACACTTCAGAGCAAGTGAGGTACAGGAAGCCTCATAAATAGGCAATTACATACTAATATGCCCACACAGGGAGCTTCTTCCTAACTGCAAGCAGTTAGCGGTTGGCTATGCCCTGAAGCATAAAAATTCATATCTGCATTAAGAACAGGAACTCTACCATGTAACAACTCAAATATTTAATATTTATATGCCTATCTAATCCTCACTTAAAATAATACTTTTCTCAACAATATCTCTAGAAATCAAAGTCCACAGCTAATTATGTTTTCTGCATCGAAAGAAACAATACAACTTCCAGTTGGCACAGACCTTGCTGAGCCCTGTTACACATTATTAATCTTTTACTCCAGTGCTCATAGAAATATGCCCCTAGACAACAAACTCTAAGGCTGGTATTTGTAAGGCATTCTCTGTGTTTACAAAACCATTTAAATGAAAAAATAGGAGTCATGGTTTGGACCTGAAAAATAATGAAGGTACAGCCTAGTATCAGCTTTGCTTTCCAAACACCAGTGATAAAGACCGGTGGGACAACTCCTAGGCAGATTGAAAGAGCTGTGAAATGAAAGAGCATGCTGAACATACCTTCTTCAAATATGCATTAATTCCCAAAAAAAGTTCTTTCTGTACCTCTAATAGGCTCTAGGCCAGCAAAGCATAAACTAGGAATTGTTGATATGGGACCCTGCATGAGTATTTACACATAAAAGCATGAATTTCCACACTTAAAAACTTTGCATTTGATTTCTTAAAACTGTGTACGTTTCAACATTGCTTACCAGAAGATGTGAACATGTTTTTAAAAGTATTTTCGGGGTGTGCACTTAGCCAATGCGACAGCTAAGAATTCCTGCTAATGCTTGCAACCTTTAAAAAAATTCTACTGTTTCAAAAAGGTGTTTTGAAGCAGTACGTTATTTACCCAGAGATGCAACCAGATGTCATGACTCACGGCACAATTTTGTTATCTACTCTTAATTTTTCTCCTATACATACACTCAGCAGAAAGATGGAGCTTCTCCCTCACATTCCCTTCCACCCCACCTCCCTATCAGCATCATACTTGAGCGTAACTTCTCTTCCCTTGAGTAGTTTTCCTGTTCCTACAGACTCAGATCAGTGGTAAAGCTTGCCTTTAAAAGTCACTTCACTTACCTTGTCTCTGGATTATAGCCCAGTATGTAGAAAAATGAATCCACTCGGGCTTTAAACTCTCTAGCAGCAAATATGTCAGAGAAATGGGAGATATTACACTTCCCTCTGAAAGAAAGAGGGAAAATGGTATTAGAATTCTACCTTGAATAACAGCTGTTTTAATTAAGTGCCACTGCAATCTGTGTATAAGCCACAGACATCCTTGTGTTCTCATAAATGTCTAAAACATCACAAATAATAATCCTGCTGTAACAAATAACCATGCAGATTCTTCCCACGGTGGGAAGTTACGATGTCTCCGATGGCGTTCTACAAACATTCATTAATTCTCATTCAGCCAACACACAGTCCTGAGGAGCCCAAAATGAATCAGACTAATGAACACTCTCTACCCTAGAAATACAATCCTGAAAATGTTTTATTTTCCAAGTTTTTACAGTCCTATTACACTTACATCTTTAAGGATGCTTCAAAAATTCTACTATTCATATTATTTGGAACGTTAGCTTTTTATTTAGAAAGCTAAATAAAACTTCAGTTTAATAACACTTCCAAATAAAAAGCAAAGCTATGCTGTTTTTAGCAAGGTTGCAACCCTAACAATGCAAATTCCAAACACACACAAGTCTCTTCCTTCTACTTTCATACATAAGAGAGTAAAACACAGACATTAAAAAAGGAGAAAAAAGAGAAAAGAGGATTTATTAGCTTGCTCTGCAACAGATTGCTAATATTTTTTTTTCAATATAATTTGTTGATGAAGTCATTATCCTTAAGGCTGAGCATTAAGACTACCTGTAAGAAGTTGCCTCATTTCATCAAGGGGCTGTTGGACTGTTAATGTTCAACAGCTGCTCATGTTTTGTCATTCCATGCATTGCAGTTTACTGCCACCAAGTAAATCAGATGAGAAGCGGGCAGAGACAAACAGGCCAGCCAGCCAAAGAGTTAGTGCTTTTTATCTAAACCTGGTTCAATGCAATAAACAATGCACCAGATTTTGCTCTTTTTCAGTATGTCAAGCTTTCTAGTATTTATACAGACAGCATCTCTTCTCACTTTTATTTACTGAACAGTATTCGCAATTATAAATAAGCTGCTATGGGGCTTTTTTAACATTGTAAAAAGGTTTGCCAGTCCTGGTTAAAATTGAATGAAAAGTGCTATTGCCACCAGTACACCAAGACGAATAATTATTTTGCCTGTAAATAATCCTGGCTCTGTTTGCCTAGTCTTTTCAACAGAGCTTAAAAGCACTGCATACTGGAAAAACCAAACTCGGAAGTTGAAATGCTAAGCCTGCGTCCCTTCCTAATCTTTTCATGGTAAAGCACTTCCAAAAGGCTTACCAACCAACAGCGACTAAGAACTTTGCCGTGGAACACGAGCTCTCCCATACACACCATCAACCACGACAGGTGAGGAAAAATCACACCAGAAGGACGAAGGATGACTAAAGTTGCCAGCCGTTTTAAGACAAAAATCAATAAGGCTATCCTGTGAGCTGAGGCTGCGTAACTGTCCCTGTGATTGCCTAATTCTCACTCAACTGCCGTTCTGGCAAAGGACAAAGAAACACTGGGTATTGCACAGGTCATGCCAAGTTGTAATGGAACATTAACGAGGTCTGTAATTGAGACATCACACAAATACTGAAAGACAAACTTGTTCACTAATATTTGTTTTATCCCTTGTGGCTAAAGCTAGTTTCCTAGTTCAGTCATTTAAAGAAAGAAAATGAGCAGGGGTATTTGTTTTGATATTTCACATTAAATGCACATTTAAAAAGTATTGTGGGGAAAAAGATTTAGTTTCTCTTCAGTAATTCGTCCGCCAGTTAATAAGCATTTTCCAGATAAGCTTGTATTACCTATATTGATGAAAGCAGTACATCTTGTTCATAGCATTTCAGAGAAGTAGTACTACATGTTACCACAAAGATTTACCGTATAGGTAAAAAGGACATAACTTTTATTACACACTTCCACAGAGATCTACAAGTATCCTCCAGTCAAATTTTTCCACTGGTTAGAGCAGAATATTGGTATTTACAATCACTGTTTTTATTTCGCAGTTTGTCATCAATTCATTGTGTGATCAGAACCATTCGTTTGCAGAGGGTAGAGAAATAATCTCGTATTATAATTTTACGTTAACCCTCCTTTCACACATCACAATACATTCTGCCTACTCTACGTTCTCAAACTGTAAGAACACCACGTGCAATTACCCTTATGTTCATCTTGTACACTGAAAATTACTGACATGTATTAATGACAATTTGCTAGAATCCGCAAAAGTATCTTTATCCTGCAAAAGTATATTCTCTCAGTTACCAGCATTTTTAGATACCATCTACAAGGCTGTATGAATTATCAAAGTATGAACAATCCAGAGCACAACAAAACACCACCGAAACCCTATGCCAACAAAGAGAAAGAAAAGCGTGATCTAAAAGGTGCCTGTGGCACGCGTTTCCAACCAAAAAGGCGGCAGATAAAACACAAGCCAGGTTGAGGAGGTGATCCGTTTGGTCATTCAGCAGCCTTCACTCTTTTTGGAAAGGGAGAAGAGAAGGTTATTTTTCAAGTTTGCTTGGTATGCACATACATTCCATTTTAATCTTTTCTTTAAAGAAAAAGACAGAAAGGATGTCGAAGAGAAGTTAAAACACTCCCAGGGAAAATTCCATACACATAGTTCGGTTTCTCTGTTTAAGCAGACAGCTAGATTTCCAAGATTGGTTCCATCAAGACAGCCAACCTCCTGCTAGCTTCTTTCTAAGCATGTTGATTCAAAATTGACCTTCTGTAACTCAGAAAAGGCACTGTGGAATTTCATGAGATTATAGTACACCACTGGAATTTTCCAAGTTCATAAAAAAAATCTAATATGTAGATCAAAGACTTCTTCCCACCCATATAACAGAAATTGCAGCTAGTTTGTCTTGAAGTACGTGGCTTCAGCAAAGTGACTCTGAACAAAAAAAAAATGTCTCCAGATGGTTCTGGTGAAACACCATCTGAGCATTATTATCAAGGAGATTATTCAATTTGCATTTTGACAATATCCATGCATGTTTGGCATGTCGAAAACCTGCTGAAAAATAATGCCTCGCCGTTTCTATTTGAAAACATTTTTAAGTAACAGTGTATCCCCTCAGCCTACTCCAAGGTTAGCCACTTCAGTTAAAAACTTGGTGGGCAAAGAGAGCAGCACCCTCCAGGGAAGGGCAGATAGCACGGAGAACAAAACAGGGGTCCATTACCTCCTGTCTGCGCAGCTAGTTTTTAATGGAGCTCTTTGCTGAGCTGCAACAATGACAAGTGCCTCAGAGAACAAGCCTTTAATGCAATTTAATCAGGGCAACATACTAACCGTCACTTTACTAGGAGATGCTATTGTTAATAGTGAAACCAAAGACAGAGGAGGGAAGGGTAGTATTTCTGCGGGAACTAGCAATAACCTAAATTGGCAATGATGGGAAACAACATCTTCTGAGCAACATTGATTAACTGAGATTAAAACGAGATTGTAGAATTACAGCTCCTTTTTGAATGAGAACAGATAACACCAGTTAATTACTGTAGGAGACGAGGAGAAAGCTGAGCAGTATGCTAATGATCGCCACACAAAACCAGAAAAAGCACCCCTCTCTCAAGAAGGTTTTTCTCATCCACCTCTGAGACACTGCACCACGTCCTCTGTAACTTACCTGAGGGCAGCAGCGTGGTAAGTGTCAACATAATCTGAAATGAAGAGCTCTCGATTCTTGATAACTGGGTCTGTAATAACAAGCTCCCGTCCAGAGTCTGCCAGAAAGCAAAAACACAAACAAAAAACCACCAACACATTAGCCGTAGTCTGAAAGCATCTACCATTGCCATTTTGCAGGTATTTTTCACAGGTCATAACTTGAGGATGTTTCTTAGATACACACTCCTCAGTGTTAAGATGACATTCAGATTGTTTACATGGCCTGTAAGGTACGGAAATAACATGATAGCCATTTTTTACACGTGAATTCTCACTTGCCATATCTAAAGAACCGATGAAGGGAAGGAGCTTTTAGGGGCACTGGATGACACACCTTATCCACCGACCATAGAAGTGGTCACTCCTAGGTGAAACGAACTAAGGAAATTAATTTGGCACTGACTTCCGCTTTCTGGGTTGAGGTTTTGGTTGTTTTGCATATTTAATCTCAAATCTTCAACTAAACCTTGACAGTACTAACTGCTCAGTGCTCTGGCTTTGACAGAAACACTGATATTCATGTTCAAATACAGAAAATTCTCAGTGTTAACAAAAAACTGAAAGACAACTTTTCCATGACTTCTTTATAATACCTTTGAAGAATACACTAAAATACTGCTCCCCATGCACAAGAGTGTGACATAAAAAAGCAGCCACGTTATCAAAAACGCTCACTTTTTGACACTGTGCCTATAATCCCACTGTTAGAAGTTTCAAATAAATTGGTAAGAGAAATGTTAGATTTGTGTAGCTTTTGCTAAAAGCACACGCAAAATGTCCTTAATGCCTGCAAAAAGGAGAATGTGTGCTCAACTTTGTACTGTCATGCACCAAAAAGTTGCTGTGTTCCATATTTCAAGCATCAACTTTTATCATCACAATTCACCTTGGAGTATCTTCAGAATTTTAACAGTTGCCTCAAGGAAATTTCCTCTTAAGAACAGAAGCAAATGTTATGTCTCCCCTAGAGGCAAGAGATAAATGACACTGGGATATGTACTAAAGTTTCTTCTGCTTCTATTTAACCCAAGATCACGCTTGTTTTTGCAAAGATAAAAGGGGAAACTCAGCTACAAGTGCTTCAGTTACATCACTTACTGCAATATTAATCACAGTGAGTATTCATACATGCAAGGTAGCATGAATGTAAAAAATGTGGTTCTTATGACACTACAGCAGAATCACCAAAAAATAGAAGAGATTCACAATTTCTTCAGACAACCGGGTCTTCAACCAGTTAGGTATTAGTACACTGTCCAGAAGGCCTACAAAGGATCCAATGTTATTTTTCTTTTCTATTCCCTCTCAAGGCATTAGTATAATACAGCACAGTATTTAAACCATACCTGAAGTGCATCTGATTATAGCTGTGGTTACAGGACAAACACTAGTTAGAACAAACAAGGCAGGTAAGAAACACTATCACCCATCTTCTAATATATTGTTTTCATGAACCGTCCTTGCTTCATATCCCTACGCAGAAGTGTTCTTGCTTTCTGGACTGTTAAAACTTAAAATTCAGAGTACAAGTAAAGCAAGCCTTACTCTACAGAGCCTAACTTACCATTCTCATTGTGTCTGTCCTGAACCAAATGCTGATAGACTGAATCTGGGACTTCAGACTGGCGATAGTACCATTTGACATTCATAAGGAGGTGGTCCCGTTTACTCTGAAAAAGAAGGTCTAAAGGCATTACTAAAAAGGAAAATCAGACCACATCTGACACAATCTTCTAAAGTATAATATTTGTTTTCACATGGGAGAAAACCTGAGGTAAGATCCCATAGGGAGGAAAACATTTTTCTATGACAATGAAAAAAAGGCAATGTGCTAAGGACAGATTGACTTTCAAACTAGACAAAAGCAACAAGAACCTACTGCGTCACCAGGCAGTTGTAGCTCTCCGTATATCTGACCAGTACATACTAATCCATTCACTCACAAAAAAATAACCCAAGGAAAGAAAAAGCAGGGATCAGAAAAGGACTGGAATTTTTGGCCTCATGCAGCATGATCTTAGTCTGTTAATTTCTACAAACAAAAAGCATTTATCACCAAACATGGAAAAAAAGAATATCAATAGTAACATAATCCAATGCAACCACTCCTAACAGTTGTAACCAAGAGATACCAGATCTTTTTTCCCCCAAGAACAGATGGATTCAGACATAATTATAGATGTTCTTTATTCCACTCCTTTACACAAAAGAATAGGCTGCCGCCCAATAATTACAGGCTCTGATTGCTCACCTACCTCACAAAACCAACAGCAAAATTCGCACAAAACTATCTTCCTCAAGTGCTCCTTTCTCATTTAAGAATCCAGCCACCAGTTTGTTCCTTCTTGCCAGGAAACTGAAGCATAAACACCACTCAAAAAAGAGAATTTTTAGATCAAGTTATTACAGACTTTCTGCTCCAGTTTACCTTTGAAACCCTGGGTAGACAATTCTTCCTATGGCTCCAACACACTTGAAGGACCAGAGGAAGGCCTAAAGGGACATTAACATTCTTTTGGCATGAGGCGACCGCAACCACCGTTTGGTTTTTTCTGGACTACAGTTCCCTAGACCCTTCTAAGACTGCCCTTAAAACATTTCTATTGAAAAGATAAATCACAGGTTACTGGACGGGAAAGTCTTACCGCCCCTCCTGTTCACAGCAGCCTAGTCCTTACAGCCATTTCCACCCTTTCTGCTTACCAACACGCTCCCCGCGAAGCCCCCGCGCCACCCGCTGCAATACCACCCAAAAGCTGGGGGTGGCAGCATTGTGCCAGAGAAAGGCCCTTCCCCGGTGCTCACGCACCGAAGGCCTCAAAACCAGCGAAACCTGGACCTCCTTTTTTTGTTAAATAACACACTTAAAGACAATAAGTTCGTCTAATGCATGAAAAAAAAATAAAATCAAAACGACAAAGTCTGAGCGGGAACACCGATCTCTGCTGCCTGCTGTTCAAAAAAAGTTGTTGCAGACTTCCCTGTTCTCCTGAAATAAAGTTCTGTGCATCACAGCTTATACGAATAGGCTCTCTGAAGTCAAGAATTTTGGGAAACTGTAATTCTGAGGAAGATTATTTTCTTGAAAGTATCTTCATGTACCCAGACTTACACTGTTGTCCTGGTAATCCAGTAAGGACAGAATATAGGTCTTATTTCAACAGATTTTTTTTCCTCCTTAAAGAATAACACCTATCACTGCAATCAATTTATGTTCTTAAGTGATGGCAGCTTATTCACCACACCTCTCTAGTTAACACGGAGGCTTAAGTAAGCCCAATTCCACCTCAAGGCAAGGGACTTAAGTGTGGTACCTTTATTTCCAAAACAACAAAAAAAAACCAAAACAACAAAAAAAACCAAAACAAAAAAAAAACAAAACAAAACAAAACAAAACCACACAATTAAACGTTCTGTTACCGTTTGGCTAAGAATTCCTAAATTCTATTAGCGGTAACAAGAACTGCATGCAACAATGGTGGGAAATATTAACCCAGCATTTCTCTGCAAATTCTCCTTTTTGCAGTTCTTAGTTGAGAGGAGAAAGCATCCCCGCTCATGTTACACAAAGCCCCCAGAGCACACTCAGAAAGCATCACTTTGTGGCACACAAACTGCTCACTTACACGTACAGACAGTTTACAACAAGCATCAAAAGCGAATGCCTCGATTTTCTCGGTTTGTGCCACTGAAGCCGAGTGTCTTTCAAAGAATACAACGCTCCAAGGAGCACCGTAAAGGAGGCACAAGTACGTATGTACATGCGACCATGAAGGAGGACCACAAAAGACAGTACTGAATTTTGTTGGTGGCGGTGTTTTTGAAGTAAATTACATGAGGCGGGAGGAGAAGGACTAGAAATCCACACTGTGCTCTGCCAGGGATGGTGCTTACAAATGCTTCTGTACAAACTAAACCATCAGAAGTCTGTCCAAGGAGAGATCCGAGAAAAGGAAATAATTTACTGTATCTTGGTAAAAAGAAGAGCTAGTCAGAGAGAGGACAAAGGTAGCAAATGCTGAAGGGGTGGGTACCACCTCACACGTAACCTTACAGTCATTCTGCTGCAAGGGGACAGTTTTGCAGAAAGAGCTCCGGAAGCGTACGCATTTTGTGTGAAGGTATAGCCTTTACGTATGCATACATTGAGATCATAGTACAACAGAAAGGGAGGGATCAAAATGGTCAAATGTTTTCATTGCCTTGGCATTACACAGAGCTGTGAGTTGGGAGGTCACAGCTTCATTTGGAAATCGGCCAAGACTGTAAGGGGGACGGAGATGCAATCACTTAACTTCCCTGTCTCGGTCCCTTATTGTATCACAGAATAACACAGGGCTTTTGGCAGCACGGGGATGAGGCCAAGGTCACCACTTCCAAAGCATTCGGATACAGCTGGACAGAAGGAACTGGTGGTTGGAAGTGAGGTTCTTCCACCCACTGCCATAAGGGACCACCTCATTATCTCCCCTCCTCCCAGTCTCTCATTCCGTCCATGCAAAGAGAAGTTTTTGCTTATTGCTGCGTCTCCTGTAAGGTTCACTGCAAACACCCACGGTCCCCCAATATGCACTGAAACAAATAATGGAGTTGCAGGGGATTACACAGCATCTTATTAGGAACAGTCACACATTACCACACAATGACACAACACAACATCTACATACAACATAACATCTACGTACAGTCCAGAGCTTTCTGCTAGTTCAAGCGTTTTAATTTGATGCGAAGATGTTCGTTTCCCATTTTGAAACTTTGCTCTCAGACTCACAGAATGCCTTACTTGTTCCCTTCACTGTGTTTTATTCCAGAGGTTAGCATTACCCTGCACAGCGAAAGAGAACAACATTTCCTCCCCTGAAATCAGATTCACAGTCAGGATGAACACGGGGAATGAGACTGAATTTCAGGAGGCTGGCAGAATCCAAGAAGTTTTCAAGGAAATGATGAGTTGCCCCACACTGCAACCTGCCAACAGGAATGGTACTGACTTCCTTAGGTTGATCATGTAGTTGTGAGGCACTGTCAGAGGGGGAGATTACAAAGAAAAAGAAATTACAGGGGTTTTCCTAATATGGAAAAGTGGCTCTTCTTTCACTACACTTCAGAAACAAAAAGAATGTATCTTTAAAAACTATGGAGAAAAAAGATGGAGTTAGAATTGGAACCAAAACAGACTACAAAAACAACAGACATCAATCCAAATGGTGTGCATAAGCATAGATTTGAAGCCATGGCTTCACCAGCTTCCTATTCTTTTAACTTTTAAAAACTGAATTTTACGAAATAGGCATTTTAAACGAACTATAAATGACAGGAGAAGATGAACATGGCCAATGTACATCTCTTCAAAAATTATCAGACGCATTATATATCTTTCAAAATAGAAAGCAGCACATGCTCCACGACACTGACTGCTCTTCATCATTTGAATCCCAGAACGCACGCATATGGCACGACTCAATGCCTCCATACATAAGGAACGCCGCAACCAAAATAGCACTTACAACAGAGATGTGCAAGTAACTTTTTATAGAAAAGTCTCTGGACAATGATGCAACTAAAAATATGCTGACATACTAATAAGCTGTTATTTGTGCTCTGCTGACAGCAGTTGGGTTTGGGTTGGGTTTGGCATTGGCAGGCAGGGGGATCTGATCTCCTTCCTAAATACCTCTTTTTACCATGATTACTGCTTTTTGTCCAATTAATTTAAAAGCTTCAACTTGAAAAGTATTTTCTGTATCTACTCTCCGACATGCATGATTTTGTGGGTTTTAACCTGAAATCTCAATCTCCCTAAAAATACAAAACGTCTGTCAGAATCTTGTTTTTCACATTTACATCCTTCATTGCACCGAAATTCTTAGACATGCTATTTTGTCAGCCAGCTTTTGAAATATGTATGTCATTTACAGAGCAGACTATACTCAGAGGTGTCAAGGCACCAACTTCTGTGGCAGACTATTTATTTTAGAACCATGTGCACACAAAAGAAGTGTCCCCTACTTCATAAAGTGTTACTTTTTTTTTACACCTTTACATATGAAAAGCTGCAGATAGTCACGTGCCAAATTCAGACTTGCAGAAATCACAGCAATGGCAAGTGCTTTAAAGTGTCTTTCTGGCAGCTCAAAAAAATTCCCTGTGCTACAAAACTACATTCTCTCCCCTTAAATGAAAATATTATCTATTGCTGCAGTACTCAAAAAGTACTCATTTGGGGGTTTGTTGTTGCTGCTGGTTTGGTTTTTGTTCCTTTTAAAAAAAAAAACCATAAATCAGTTTTGGACATTCCACAAGAATTCGATAAAATCTGTAACTGGATTAATGCATCCCAGTTCACAAGCAACTGGTCAACTTCTCTTTAAAAATGAGCCTCTCTCTTAAAAGGGGAAAAAAAAAATAATCTTGCAGGTTCTGTTTAAAAGTATAAATGTATTGGTTTCCACAGCATTTGTGACAATTCCAAGGTGCTAGTTTTCTTTTAGAATACACTTAAACAGAGTCACTGCACATTACAGCTCATATCTTAAGAGACTCCACATCCTCTTCCCAGGGTTACGACTAACCAAATTGTGCAAATGATCACAGATGTCCTGCAGATTCTCTCAGAGGGATTTAAGCAGTATACTTCATTACTTGTCCTATTTAGATACCACATTAAATC